TAACTGCTTCTGTGGTGTTTTAATTACAAGGGCTTACAGGCCTCTGTCCAACCAAATTATCATTCTGTTTTATGATGCAGATGTATGTGGTTGGGTCAACATCTGACAATGGCATCTATCTTTTAGATTTCTACCCGGACCCTAGCTCTCCCAGCCATGTGGACTACAAGTAAGAAACTCCAAGCTTAACCAGTTTTTCTCATTGTCTTAGGTTTGAGTTGAATTTTGGATTTTCGTACAAGTTTTTTCATAGATGGATAAAAGCATAGAAAAATCTACCAATTAATCCCCTTCTTGATGTGTATACACAATTTCACATACATGAGCACTTCATATTCATATTTAAATCCCAAGTCAGATTTTGTACTTGTTTTATGAGTTCCATTTTATTAAATTTCTCTTCTATCTCTAGGGAGGATTCACAGAGCTCTTTTGAGACGAGCCACCAAAGAAAGCAAAATAGGTTTGTTCCATTGTCTGAAGGAGTTACTGCATGTGCCACACATCCCCTTAACGGAGCCATTATAGCTGGAACAAAGGTTTGTCTTTGATGGAGATTACTACTATTTAAATTTTCAACAAAATCTGAGTTTTTCCTTTCAATCTATGGGTCTTTGGCAGCAATCCTCCTTACTGGTAATTTCCCAGAAACAACATTCTGAGTTTGGTTACAGTTTGCAAAAAGTCCATGAGGTCAAGAAAGAACCGCAGACACCGCAAAAAGTCCATGAGATTAAGAAAGAACTGCAGACACCACAAAAAGTCCATGAGATCAAGAAAGAACTTCAGACTCCAACGCCCTCATAAAACATTAAAATCACAAATCACTTCAAGCTCAAAAGTCAAAACAATCTCTTCATTTATAAAATGCAATTCCAAGGAACTTCTCAGTAGTACTGCTATTTTTCTGTAATCTGTATATAAATTCTGTCTCTCTAATCTCATACGTTTTCTTAACAGTAGAATTGTGATAATTTTTGCAGCACATAATTACATGTCTTTAGCCTTATTTTAAGCACTGAAATAGAAGTCAGAATTCAGAAGCTATGTACAGATGAAACCAACAGCATTTGTTTTTCCAACTCCCTTAAACATGCCATAAAAAGACCAATATTGAAGTAGTTTTCAATTTTTCATTAACATATAAAATACAACTAAGCATAACACAAAAGTACAGATCTGATTCTGGTCTACAATCGACAGACTTAAGCCCTTTCTCCCCTGATCCTTCTGGCAAGCTGGATGTCCTTAGGCATAATGGTGACTCTCTTGGCATGAATAGCACAGAGATTTGTGTCCTCAAAGAGTCCCACCAGGTATGCCTCAGCGGCTTCTTGGAGAGCCGCAACGGCGCTGCTTTGGAACCTGAGATCCGTCTTGAAATCTTGAGCGATCTCTCTCACCAGCCTCTGGAACGGAAGCTTGCGGATCAAGAGCTCAGTGCTCTTCTGGTACTTCCTGATCTCTCTCAAAGCGACAGTTCCGGGCCTGAAGCGGTGAGGTTTCTTCACACCTCCAGTCGCTGGTGCTGACTTACGAGCCGCCTTGGTGGCCAGCTGCTTCCGCGGCGCCTTGCCGCCGGTTGATTTCCTAGCAGTCTGCTTTGTGCGAGCCATTTCGAATACAAAGGATTGGCGAGGATTTGTTTGTTTCTTAAGAAAGCCAAAGAAACCAGATACCGCCGAGAGAGATTTTGAATTTTGATGATGGGGATAAGGGATTAGGGAAGTATTTATAAGGGAAATTTTGGAAAAAGCGGGAAGAAGAAAAAATTTGTGCTTCCGAGGGTTTTGAATTAGCGAATCCAGACCGTAGATTGGATCGCTTATCGACGGCTGTATGCACTTGAAAGTTATGATCCGCGTCACTGCATAAGATAATCCATGCCGTTAATCGATAGCGTATCGACGGTCGAGAATAATGAAAGAGAAGTGACACGGATTACACGCAACCCAAGGCAGACGATTCCCTTACTTTATAGGGCCGGTGAACTTCATTCATATTGGGCTTTGAGGTCTTAAAGTTATAATAATAAGGTAAGAACTAAAAACGATTTCTCGGCCCATTAATTCTTTTTCTCAATATATCTTTTTTTTTATTAAAAAAAAACCTTTTTTCTTTTTCGCCAAAAAAAAAATCCCTAATCCCAACTCACTCTCTTCCCAAAAAATTCTCACATTTCAAAGAGAAAAAAATAAAAGACATTTGAGAAGAAATTGAAATTTGAAATCTAAACATGTCCTAATTCAATTTTGATGAAGTCAAAAAGGAAAATTGATGTGAAATGGGAAGACTATGCATTGCTTTGCTGACTTTGTATCCACCTAATTGCACGTGTTCCAACCCCCCTCCCAAAAAATAAAAAAGAGTCAACATCGTAGTTTAAAGGTCCAATTATCCCTTACCCTTTGTTTTTTTTTTTTTTAATAGAGAAAATGATTAGATTAGTAATTTAGCATTTACTCTGAAAGGAATTAAACCTGAGATCAAGAGTATATTTCATTGACTGCCCTTTTAGGCAGCAATAACCACCATTAAGCCCACAATAGGGGAATGCATCCCTTACCCTTTGTTTGGATGAAGAGATTTGGAGGGGAAGGAGAGAGAGGGGAAAGGTGCCTCCTTTCATATTTAGGTTGCATTTTTTGATGGAGGGGGAGGGACATGAAGAGAGATCAAGTCTACTCCACTCTTTAGATTTTTGTCTCTTTAGTTTGGAGGAATTATGATAGAATTTGTTTAGGTATTTTTTTTTAAATAAATAAATATTATTTTATTATTTATCTAATAAATAAAATTTTTTATATTATATTATATTTTTTAAAATCATTTAATTAAATAAAAATATTATATTTCCTTCTTCATTTTTTATCTATTCAAGCAATTTTAATATTACTTTTTTCCTTTCTTTTTCTTCTCATCGCTTTCCTTTTCCTCCCTTCCCTTCCTTTTTTTTTTATTAATTTTTATCCAAACAAAAGTTTGTTGCTATTTATAAATTGTAACTACAATAAACTCATACAATGGGAAGGAAACTCAAGGCCAAACTTCAAAACCTAAATCTATCTCTAAATTAAAGTCATATCAATCTGCCTACCTTTTAATTTTGTGAGGGATTAGAAGTCTATCATGTTGACATTTCATGCTCTTGGACTTGGTCGATTCCAAGACATCCCCCTATAAAGACCAACCCCATGATAATTTTCCTTAGAATTAGTGTGCTTGTAGTGGCCGAGAAGGAGCAAAATAAAGCATTAGCAGGTTTGGTTTCTCAACGTAGTTCTAAAGTCAGAATATTCAAAGACACCCACCATCTTTAGTCAATTGAAGAAATAGACTTGCCGTCTCATATCAACAGCTCCATTGTCTAGGTTACATCAATGGCATGCTTCTCTAACCTCTATTGGGATTGGGGTTGCATTGTTGCACATTTACCCTTGTGTATTCTGCAATTGTCCTCATAGAAGAATTGGTCTATAGGTCTAGCACTAGTGTTGTAGGTATCACAAATTTCAAAAGGAAACAGGACAGGAGAAATGCATGATCAAAGGGACAAATCTTTTGGCCTTTGTACCTCTAAACTTTCATTTGTGCTAAGGGGAATGACAATCACAAAGGATGAAACAAAAAACCCAATGCTAATGTTTTTTCCATCCATCTTGGAATCCAAAATGGAACAAGGAGAACAGGACAAGATCCCAGACATTATACCATGATCAATATATCCTGCACGAAAAAAAAAATTATATATATATATATATCTACTTTCTGTCGCTTGGACTTGGGTTGATATGATTATGTGTTTCCCTTGTTCACTGTTCTATTACTTTCCCGTACAGCTAAAAGAAAAGACACCAATCACCATACCCTTTTTCTTGTTTCCCTTCAGCTAAAGCTGCAAGTGAAAGGGAAAGGGATTGGCTAGATCTTCCCTAACAGAAAGCTATAATCATGTAAAATTACGTGTTCTCTTTTAAAGTGGGAATAAGAGAGACTGCATAAAGGATTATAAAGGAGTGGGGGAGTCTCTAGAACAAGGATGGATGGGCCATGGGTTGGAAAACATTTGGCCAAAAATACAAATGGCTATATGGGATTGGGATGGTTGATGTTGATCGATGGGGGTCCGGCAGTATAAAGATGATACATATTGCTTGGAGTTATATATGAACATGGCATAGATCATTCCTTGGAGAAAAGCAATCGATAGGAATGGGAAGGTTTGATCATTATTGTGTCTGCAGCTTTTGTGGATCTTTTATGAAGTTGTTTTTGGATAGAGGAAAGGTCATATGCTTCTCCTAGTCGTAGCTAATGCAAACAAAGTTGATTAGACCAAATACCATGGGCAAAAAAAAATATTATAATTTAGTTAATCAATAAATTTGTTCTTTATTTTATTGTTTAAAATTTAAAAATTCATGTATTGAAAAAAAAACATGCGACTTGAAAACAATATAAAGAAGTCATTTGTCATAAATTACATGTAGATGAATTATCATTTATTTAACTTAATGGAAAAAAGGGTAGAAATATAGCATTCATAAAGCCAAAATAAGGGGATTAACGATTATAGTTCCTAAGAAGATAGAATATTTTTCAATATGTCAAGAAGGATAGTGATTTGTATAATTTTTAGTTCAACATATTATAAAATATATTTATTAAAAAATTATTATTTTTTAATATAAAATTAAATTCAAACAAATTTAATAATATAACTATACATATAACATATAAAAATTGATTGAATCAATTACATTTTTATTATATTTTAATAATTAAATTAAATAAATATACAAAGACATATTAAATAAAAAAAATACCAATTATTTTTCTAAAAATTTGCAAGAAGTACAATTCCAAATCTATATGCCCATAATGGAGCGAAGACGATGATAAGAAGTAGTGCGTAAAAGAAATATCTTTGGTTTAGTAACTTGTCAATGTTGCATAGAATGATATAAATTAATTAAGCATATACCTAACCTAATAGCAGTGGATAAAACTACTTCTCTTGACTTCTATACTGCCACGACAAAACGAACCTAATAACAATGTTAGGTACTAGCGAGCTAGATATTTCATTTGCATTTCTTAACTACCCCAAATAAATTACACAACAAGAACATCCACCAAAATAATTTTTAATATTACATGTTACTTAATTTGTTTTTAATTAGTGATATAAAAGAAATTATTATCGCTTTTTTGCATGTGGAGGTTGACAAAACAAACTTACTTTTTGATGGGAGTAGTTGGCTTCCAAAGACACATTTGTTTTTCTAACAAAAGTAGTTATGGGAAACAACAAACTCAGGAACATTGAATATTTCAATTATCCTACATGGAATTCCATTTTGAAATAAACTAAAAGGTAACCAATATATTTTAATACTCTCTCTATTTTTTTATTTCTAAGTTACTAGATTTTGCATTTATATAGTTTGAAGGAAGAGAAAGTTATTTTAATCAATCAAATTATTTTATTAGTTTATTTTTAATTTATTTTACAACATTTTACAAAACCCAATAATTTCAAGAGTAAACGTTATTCAAAAAATATAGAAATTAACAATTAATTCAAATCATTCTTTTTTTTTTAGTTAGTGTTATGAGTTTAGCAACTCATTCCATTTTATTCAATTGCTTTGGGGATATATTTTATTAAGTAGTAGTAATAATTAACTAAAAAAAAAAGAGGGTTATTTTGGTCCCTACGGTGGTATTATTTTCAAGTGATTCATTAAATTAAAAAACATTAATTTAAAGTTAAAATTAAAGATTTAAATTTTTATAATATCAAATAGTTAATTCTCTTATCTTAAAAAAAGAAAAAAAATTTTAAAGAAAAGGGATAGACCAGTGAGTTGTTTTGGAGCCTTGGAGGTCTTGGATCCTTCTTATTGTCCCTCACCTCTATTCCTTCTGGCAAACCTGCAATTGGACAACTCACTTGACCAATTTACCCTCACTACTTTCTAGTATAATAATACTCTTTGTTTATAATGCATGTATAATAAGAAGGGAAAAAGTGAAACATTTTTTGTGGATAATCATTGAATTTTTTCTTTGGCAGTTGTAATTGACAATCTCATCTCAAGAAAGCAACTTTTGAAAAAAAAAAAAAAAAAACCATCTTTTCAATATATGACTTTTTTTATGGATCTTATATTATTAGATTGTGAGGAGATTATTGACCATACATTTAAACATAAAGTCACCAACTTAGAAATGACTTTGCTCAAATTGTTGGACTTTCACTTATAAATCTTAACATCTTATGATTTACATTTAACTTTACAATTATATTCTTAATTTAAGTAAAAAAAAAAACAAATTACAATTCAAATTAATTACACTAAGTGAATATTGAAAGTCTTTAATTATGAGAGAAATAACCAAATTTCATCAAACATGTTTAATCATCAATAAATGAGGGTCTAATCCAGGTACATCCTCATCAACCAACCAATTTATATGACCAATTGTTATGATTAGTCAAAGAAAGTATTATAACACATGGGAACCATTGGCATGGTGGAAGCCTTGGAGGTACTCAAAGTAATAATGCATACAAGGGCATCCATCCATCCCCACTTCACTTTTGTGTCATTGTTATTTTAGGTAACTATGGGCAATTTAGTAAACTGGAATCTCATTGAGTCCTTTGCCACAAGGAGTAAAAACTACTCCTCTCTCCCTTTGCTTCACTTGCTGTCATTCTATTAATTCATTGAGAGCAAGCCAAGACAAAAAGCTCATGGGATTTGAGATACCCTACATTTCCATATCTCTCTTCAATTTTCTGGTTATCCAAGAATCTATCTTGGATAGATATGATAATGTCCTGAAACCCTGCAAAATCAAGTCCAACCATCAAATACCCATTTCTTAATCTTCCTTGAATTGTGTTGGGTGTGTTTGATTTTGTTGTATTGCTTTGGGTGTGTATGTGCTGCTCTGTTTCAGTTTCATCCTCTGTTCATGGCTGCGGCGGCTACCACGGTTTCGCAAATCTTTCAGAGCCATAATGGGGATAACAGCGGCAATGAGGTCAGCCGGCAGGAGATACAGGCGGCCATTGCAAAAGCAGTGGAGCTGAGGGCTCTACATGCAGCTTTGAGGCAAGGAACTAGTCCTGCTAATCTCAGATACCAATCCTCTGCTTCCCCTGCTTCACGCTCTGTTTCTCAATTCTCTGCTCAAGATTACCCTGTTTTTACCCCTGTGAGTATTGCTTTTTCTTGCTTCCTTTACCTACACTTTTATGCTTTGTTCATCATACTAAAAGAATTTTTTTTTTTTTTTTTTTCTTTTTTTTTTTTAAATCATTAAACTGTTTAATGTTCTTTTGAAAAATAAATGATACTTGTGACACCTGTCTCAACATTTATAGAAAAAAAAAAAATCAGTTTTGATAAACATAAGATTTTTAGTCTATATTTATTCTTTAATTTTGCTTGTGTCTTTTGGTATTACATAATTACATAATGCTTTTTTTTTTTAAATTCATTTTCCATGGTATTGTATTTTAGTATATTTTACATTTAGGGTTTAGCCTATACTGAGTTTTGTTTAGGAATAATTTGATAGACTTATGAAGATGAACCATTACCTGGATATCAAATTCCTGCAAAGCAAAGAGCATTATCAGGAAGTTGGGATGGATATGGCATAGAAGCAGCAAGTGGAAGTGAAACTGTTCTCTCAGATTACAGGAAGGAGAATTCAGCATCAAGGAAACGGTTCCCTCCTCCTGGTTTGTCCACCTTAGAATCCCATGTTTGTCCTGTTGAAAATAATAGATCCCCAACTGGTTCTGTCAAAAGCCAAATTATTGGTCTCAAAACATCACCAGGAACAGAAGTGTACAAGTCAATTAGGAGGAACAGTTTGGGGGACTTCAAGTCAGTTTCATCCTGTAACAGATGCAAGCCTGCTGTCATAACCACTGAATCTGAAAGTGTCAGGCATTCTAACACTGTGGTGCCATTGACAGATTCTCACTCATCTATTCAATCCAGGCGTAAGAGTCGTGGGGTGATTTCATGGCTCTTCCCCCGGTTGAAGAAGAAACATAAGAATGAGAATTCGCCTATTCCGACAGAATCCGGGGAAGTTTCACAATTTTATAAGGACCTTGGAATGCTGTCAATTGAAACATTGAAGAGGAAGCTAGCAGAAGCAAATGAGAATAAGGATGCCGCCGTAATGGAAGTTGCTGAGATGAAATCTTCATTAGGAGAGTTAAGGCAGAAGCTGGAGAACCTGGAAGGTTACTGTGAAGAGCTCAAGAAAGCCTTATACCAAGTAAATGATTCTCAAGTCCATGAAAGGACTGGAAATTTTCCTAGGAGAGGGAAATCCATTGATGGCAATGGAGAAAAGTTGATGCCTTTCAGTGAGGAAGTAATGATAGAGGGCTTCTTACAGATGGTGTCGGAAGCAAGGTTGTCTGTTAAACAGTTCTGCAAGACACTAATTGGACAGGTTGAAGAGACTGATAACACCCTAACTGACAATCTGAATTTGCTTCTTCAACCATATAAACTGACACTGTGTAACTCAAAGCCAGTACTGTACCATTTGGAAGCCATCATAAACCAGTCGCTCTACCAAGATTTTGAGAATTGTGTGTTTCAGAAGAACGGCTCCCCAAAGATCTTGGATCCATTACAAGATCGCCAAGCACAGTTTTCATCATTTGTTGCATTGAGAAATCTAAGCTGGAATGAAGTACTAAGGAAGGGGACAAAATTTTACAGTGAAGAATTTAGCAAGTTTTGTGATCAGAAGATGAGTTTGATCATCAGCACACTGAATTGGACAAGGCCATGGTCTGAACAGCTGCTTCAAGCTTTCTTTGTTGCTGCCAAGTGCATATGGTTGCTCCATTTGCTTGCATTTTCGTTCAGTCCTCCATTGGCAATTCTAAGGGTGGAAGAGAACAGAAGCTTTGATTCTCATTACATGGAAGACATGTTCATGGATAGGCAAAGGGCACATGGTCCTAGCCGGGTTAAGATCATGGTAATGCCAGGATTTTATGTTCAGGATAGGGTTATAAGATGTAAGGTTCTTTGCAGGTATAAATCTGCAACTTAAGTAACTTAGTATTGAATTCCGAAGTATTTTTTTTAAAAGAGTTATTTTAATCAAGGGGGAATATGTAACTAACAAAAAGATGTCAATAATTAAGCTTTCTCTATTGATTTTTTGTTTTTAATCTTTACACTAAATGATGAACTATATAACAAGATACAATTTTTTCATTCTCAAACTTCTCACTTATCTCAAAATTTAAAATTAAAATATTTTATATAGATGTTTAAGTTTTTAATTATTAGGACATTCCCTTGTGTGGTCACTCTTTTTTTTTTTTCTTATTTACACAATGAGAGACAATTGTCTCATATCTCTTATCTTACTTTACTCGTATTTCACATCCCTTATCTTACTCCACTCATATGTTATGCAATTTGAATTCAAAATATTTTATTTCAAGTAAAAAAAAAATGACCACCGAATTGGCTCTTGTGGGGTCACTCTTGATTATTATTTGACATGAAAGTGGAAAAATTGACAGTGTGAAAAGGGCTTGTCCAGAGTCTATGGTGGATGACAGGCTTTCAAAATTTGACGTTGGAAAATGCTAAGGCTCAAAGCCCACAACACAAGCGGTCCTACGTTAACTCAAGCTAGGCCCACAGCTCGAAGGCCACGTCCAGACAATTTATTCTCGTCGGGCTTGAAATACATCTCCAGACTCAGCCGTCCATCGACAAGGCCCACATATCGAGGGGATAATAAACAGAATAACAATAGAGTTGTGGTTGTGCATATTTTTCACAACGCTAGTGTCTTACCCTTTTTCATATCTACGACTAATATATAAAAGTAAAAGTACAATACATTAAGAAGTTAATATATATCAATTCTAATTTTAAAAAAAAAATTAGAATTTCAATGTACATTTAGGAATTGAAATCCCGTTATATATTTTAAAATAATTAGTTTTTACATCTAAATATTAATATTTAATAAGATAAATTTTTAAATTTTAAATTGAATTTTGATTGAATAAAATGATATAATTTAATATTAAAATTTTAATTTATTTTATGAATCGAAACTGATATGCATTTTTTCAATATATTAATGTGCTTATGCAACATTGTTTTTTTTTTCTTCCCTTCATTGAAAGTGTTATCTATTTAGCTTTACTTAGATTCCAACCTATCATCTTTCACTATAAATTAAAATTTTAAGTAATGACACGTGAATAATTTGTTTGAATAATTTTTTATGAAATTTTTATATATTATAAAGTAAATA